TAAAGCTTATAATGATGAATCCAAAACCTTAAAAAATAAATAAATAAATAAATAAGATAACTATAGAAATAATAAAGAAATCTATAGTCTTACATGTTGACACGTTAAGGATGTTGCATTCTGTTTTCTCTTTGCACAATTCCTCCTTTCATTTAGTATAACTATCTGCACACAACTTTCTTTGTTTTGGGTTTTGGTCCTTGACAAATGGAGTTAAGGAAAGAAACAGATTGTTGAGTATTAGTTTAATGCCTTGTCAAAATCGTTTTGTTTAAGGACTCCCACTACTACTATTTTATCCAAGAGTAGGTTAGTTTGAGTAGATGTTTTGGTAAGTTACAAAACATTCCCCCTCAACACCCACTATCCTTAGTGGTTGAGATAAGATAGGATACCAAAAAAAACCTCTAAAAATATAATTGACATAATTAAACTAAATTGGTATTAGCAAAGAGGGATAAAAAAATTTGGGGTTATACGTCCTCATTTCTAGATCAAATTCACAATTTGCAGGTGATTGTTTCAAAACTCAAAGATTTAAGTGTTGAAATTTCAGAAGCATTTCAAGTGGACGCTATTATTGCCAAGTTGCCTCTTAGTTGGAATGACTATCAAAAGAAATTGCTCCATACTTCTGAAACTTTAACTTTAAATGATGTTTTAAAACATCTAAGGATTGAAGAAGATGCAAGAAATTTTCAAATGAAAGATGTGAGTAGTGAATCTAAAGTGAAGGTGGAGGATGAATCTAAGGTAAATTTTGTGAATGAAAGAAAGTCTTCCAATTTCTAAAGGAAAAAACTTGAATATACTATTTCTAAGGACAATAGAAAGAAGAATAGAAATTACTATAATCGTGACAAGAAAGACCATTATAAATTTGAATGCATGTATGACAAGAGACAAAAGACTAGTGGTGCATCAATCGCAAATTTTGTTGACAAAATTTTAGAAATCGTTGCTATGATTTCACTTGGTATGGTGACTGAAGTGAACATGACCACACCTAATTCTTGAAAGAATTGGTGGTATGATTCTGGTACAGCCATTCATATGTGCAATGAGAAGAGTCAATTCAAGAATTATGCAATTCTTGAAGGACATGAAGTGGTGATGGCAAATAGTGTAAGGGTTAAAGTGCATGGAAAAGGTTGTGAATATTCAATTCACTTCCGGTAATAATTAGTCCTCACTTATGTACTTTATGTTCTGGATATTGTAAAGAATCTTATCTTTGTTGATATTCTTAAAAAGAAAGGGTTGAAAATTGTACTAGAGGCTAACAAAGTGATATTGTCCAAGCATGATGTATTTGTTGGAAAAGTCTACTCTTGTAATGGCATGTTTAAATTGAGTATCAATAAAATTGATGATGATTCTCTTTATTTTGTTGATTCTTCTTATTCTTTGTGGCATGATAGATTAGGACATATTAATCACAAAGTGCTACAACACATGTCTAAAATAATCTAATTTCATTTAGTGACAATGTGAATAAGAAGTGTGAAACATATGTTCAAGCCAAGATAATAAGATTGCCTTTTCCTAAAGTTAAAAGAAATTCACAATTGCTTGATCTTGTGCATTCGGATGTTTGTGAGTTGAATGAAATTTTAATAAGAGGTAGTAATAGATACTTCATCACTTTCATTAATAATAGCTCTAGATATGTGCATGTATATTTAATGAAAACAAAAGATGAAACATTTTATATGTTGAAGACATATAAGTCTTTTGTTGAAAATCAATTAAATAGAAAAATCAAAGTATTGAGAAGTGATAAAGATGGTGAATATTTTTCTACCGAATTCTCAACTTTTTATGAAAATAATGATATTGTACATCAAACAAGTGCTTCTTATACTTAACAACAAAATGGTTTGGCTGAAAGGAAAAATAAAATTTTTGGAAAATATGGTAAAAATATGATTTTAAGTTTTAGTTTGCCAAAAAATTTGTGGGGTGAATCTTTATTGACTGTGTGTTATGTGTATAATCATATTCCCTCCTTGAAGACTAAAGTGTCTTCTTAAGAATTGTGGAAGGGAAGAAAATCAAACTTGAGTTATCTAAAGGTTCAGGAATGCATAACTTATTACAGAGTCCCGAAAAATTTAAAAAAAAATTGGAACCTAGAGCACTTAAAAAGTGTGTTCATTGGCTATGTTGAAAATTCTAAAATCTATAAGTTACTTGATCTTGATTCTAATGTGATTGTAGAATCAAGAGATGTTGAATTTTTTGAAAATAAGTTTCTCAATAATTCAAGAGTTGGAAATGATCCACAAAGTGAACCAAGTTCTTTTAATAATCCTGATCCTTCTAATGGTATAAAAAGGAAGGAAATTGACACTCCTTTTGAATTAAGGAGGAGTCAGAGACAAAAAAAAGAAAAGAGTCTACCCTCTAATTTTATTTCTTCACAAGCTATTGTCTTTCTTGTTGAAGGTAATAGAGATTCTCTACTAAATAAACTCCAATTTTATTTAGTGTAGAGGATGATGCTAAAACATTTAGTGAAACTATGAAATCTAGAGATTTAGCATTTTGGAAAAGAAGCGGTAAATGACAAAATGAATTCATTTTTATCTAACGGTACCTGGATCTTAGTTGATTTACCGCATGGTTCTAAACCTATTGATTGTAAGTGAATATTTCGAAAGAAATATGCCACAGATGGATCCATACTGACTTATAAAGTTAAATTGGTGGCCAAAGATTTTAGACAAAAGAAAGGTGTTGATTATTTTAACACATATGCACCGATATTGCATCCATTAGAGTAGTTTTTGCTCTAGTTTCAATTTATAATCTTTGTGTATATCAAATGGATATCAAGACAACCTTTTTAAATGGTGATTTTAGATGAAGAGATGTAAATGAAAGAATTGGAGGATTTTGTGTTACCCAAAAATGAGAATAAGGTATGTAAACTCGTAAAATCATTATATGGATTGAAACAAGCACCTAAACAATGTTATGAAAAATTTGAATTTGTTTTACTTTCACATGAATTTAGGTCAAATAATGTCGATAAGTGCATTTATTTTAAATTCAATGACAAGTATGGAGTGATCATTTGTTTCTATGTAGATGACATGCTAATTGTTAGCATTAACTACCAAGTGGTAGTTGATACTAAGAAGTATCTCTTGTTAAGTTTAAAATGAAAGATCTTGAAGAGGTGGATATTATCTTAGACATTAAAATTAAGACGCATAGTAGGGGATTTGCACTTTCACAATCACATTATGTTGATCAAATTTTGAAAGAGTATCAACATTTGAATATGGAAGAGGCTAGTACTCCCTTTGATCCTAACTTTAAATTATATGAGAATACTAGTAATCCAATTGTTCAGTTAGAATATGTAAGTGTAATTGAAAGTTTTAATGTATGCAATGAGTTGCACAAAATCAGATATTTCTTATTCAGTGTGTAGACTAGTTAGGTATACCAAGAATTCTGGTAAAGATCATTGGCAAGCAGTGACTAGAGTTCTTGGTTATCTTAAAAGAACCAAAGTTTGGGTCTCTTTTATAATAATTTTTTAAGTATTTTTGAGGGGTATACAGATGCTACTTGGATAACTAATATTGGTGATCAAAATCCTACTTGTGGATGGATTTTTATACTGGGTGGTGAAGCCATTTCTTGGATTTCAAAGAAACAAACTATGATTACTCATTCCACCATAGAAGGTAAATTCATAACTTTAGCTTCTACATGCAGAGAAGCGAAATAGTTTTGAGATTTATTATTTGATATAAATCTGTGGCCACGTCCTATGCTTGCAATTGCATTGCATTGTGATAGTGAGGCTAATATATCTAAAGCATTGAACAAAGTGTACAATGGTAAATCTAGACATATAAGTCTAAGAAACACTTATATTAGGCAAGTGTTGAATGATGGCGTTGTCACAGTTGTGTTTGTAAGAACTTGTAATAATTTAGTAGATTCGTTGACTAAAACTCTTGCGAGAGGCTCGGTGAATTTGATAACGTCAGGAATGGGATTAAAACCTTTGCCTATAATCACTAGCAATAGTAACCCAACCTTCTTCTAGTACTATCCCTAGTTAGAAAGATTTAAAGAGTAAAAATAAGTTGCTAATAAGTGATTGTAAGTACTACAATATTTGTGTATACTATTCCAAGTGATAGTACATCGAAGTTACTCTTAATTAAGCAGGTTGAGAAGTATTCTCTTAATAAACATATTTCTTAGTGCTTTATTTATTAAAGTTAGAAATATAATTTATCTATATGATCATAGAAGTGGTGCCGCTTCTAGTAAAAGTTTATGATATTCTTTTATACATGATCATGAACTAGGATGAGCACATGACCGGTAATAGTGCTAAAAATGATATGTGATTATTGGATGCAAGTTGATTAGTTCATGTGTGTGATAATTCTACTCTAATTTCAAATCTTGGTTTAAGCAATCTAATCACCTTGAATTGATTAGAACTTGTGAATTATTTGCACTAAGGAAAAGTTTAAAACGAAAGTTACTTTTCTTTATGCATGATATCACAAGTGTTGGTCTAACATTTCATACTACAAACTAAGTGGGAAAATGTTGAAAATTAGTTTGTAGTGTGAAAATGATCATGACTTGTGACATGATTGTAGATATCAAAATTTTGTCAATTTTAATATTTTCTTGAATTTTATCTATTTAATAAGTTATTTATTTTCTTGTATTTTAATGTGCATATATATTTTTTTTTTTGTAGGTTAGTTTTAAGAAAAAAAAGAAGAGAAAAAAAGAAAATCAAGATATCAAAAATCATCCTAATCATTTTGTTTCACCAAAACCACTATTAACCCATTTTTACACTCCATCCTCATTGACCTTTCATTTCATTTTGGTAAAAATCCATCATGTTATTTCATGCATCTTTCTTGTTATTTGGTGAAAAAAGCATCCATTTTTGGAAAATACAATTCCACTTATTTCTCCCCTATCTCTCGGCCTTCCCTCTCAAGACGAGGAGAAAAAAAAGACTCCCTTAACTTCCTTGCTCTCCCTCTCGGCTCACGGGCACATGACACCAAACACAGACAAAAAAAAAAATCTCGAGCTCTCGGACTTGCTTCTTCTTTTCTTCCAAAACACACACCCATTGACAACAACTTCCCTTCCAATCCCCCCTCTCGGCTTTCCTCAGCTTTGTTCCCCTCTCAAAAAAAAGGGAAGAAAAAGAATAAGATGGCAAAATAACAAAGAAGAATTATTACTGCCATTGAAGTTTCCATTGCCGGAAAATAGTCACGAGTTTCTTCAACAAATCTGCAGCACTAGGATTCAAAGGCCACTAAACTAGTTGAGGTATTCTTCTCATTTTCTCTCACGTAGTTAACATTTTGCTTTCCTTTCTTGTTTTTTCATTTCATTTCTTTGTGATAATGGCTGTATTGATTGTTGGTAAAAAATTTTGGAAGTTCAAATCTATCCAGGTTTCATGAATCATGTAAATTTAAGTTATGCCTTGTTTTTGTTTGGTAAAATGCTAAAATAAAAAATGAATCAAATTAGTGATTTTTTGTGCATAGTTTCGTTAAGATAGATGACCGCTAGCTAGCACAGGGCCTGGAAAAGATTTTTGATTGTCCAAAATTTAAGTTTTGACCTCAAAAGCAAGGAATGGATTTTTTTTTAAATTAGGGACTGTTTTGTCTTAATGTAGTCTTTTGTTGTTGCTTTCTTGTCAAACTAAGATCATAGTTATATTGTCAAAATCATAAGGAGTGTTTTGATATAAATTTTATGATTTTTAGTGGTGATTATAGTGTTTTTAAAAAATAAAAAACTGGGCTTTTTTTGGGATTTTAGCCACTTTCGGGTCTTTTATTTTTAAAAACTAACTTCAAAAACGGATTCTACGCGAAAAATCGAGTGAGAGGATGTATTTTGGTGTGAGTTTGTGACCGAAAAAATCGTCGGTGCCGGCGGTGGTCTGGCGGCGGCGCCGTTATCTGCGCAGCCATGGCCGCCAGGGTTGATGCCTCAACCTGCCGGAGTGGAAGAAGAAAACTAAAGAAAGAAGAAGAGACGAAAAAATAAAAGAAAGGAAAAGAAAGAATGGAAAAAAAAAAACAAAAGAGAAAACTTGGGCTTGTTTCTTTATTTTACACTTGGGCTTTTTTTTTTTTTTTTCATGAAGATAGCGTGCATTTTCCTCTTGGGCCGAATGGCTCTGGCCCAAGCAAATCAAAAGAAATGGCCCGATGGTTTTTTTTCCACCCAAATGAGAAATCAAAAATTTCACTTTAGCCCCTGACTTTCAATTAATTTCACTATGGCCCAAATAATTTTAAATTTCTTTCAATTATGCCCTTAATTTAATTTTAATTTGGTCTCTGAATTTTATATTTGTTTAATTTGGACTCCTAAACTTTTGAAAAAAATATTTTTGCCCCCAAAAGTTTTCTAATTGTTGAAATTTTGTCCTTGGTGACTTTTTGAATCTCTCTATTATGATTGTTTCTTTTCTTTAATAGCCAATTATGCTACTCTTGAGTGCATTTAACTCATAATTTTTAGATGTTCTTAAATTTCTTTATATTTAACATATTAATATAAATTTAGTACTTTTACTGTTATTATTATTATTATCGTTTCCAATTAAATTGGTGTTATAATTCTTTTGTTCATTTTGAATATAAATAGGGCAATTTGACTCCATTTAGTCACCACTTCAAAAGGGAGGTACCTCTATTATTATTTAAATGTCAATTACGTGTTCTTATATGTTCCTACGTGATCCTATGTGTTTATGTATTTTGGCATGCTTTGTTATTTATTTAAATTCAAATGTTCATTTAAATTTTCTTATGTTTGTTTAGTTAATTTTATAATTATTTGGGAGGTATTTAAATACCTCAAGATGTAATAGATAGATAATATTTTTGCAAAAATTTTAATTAGATAGACTAATGTAATAGATAGGATAAGTAAGTTTATTTTATCATATTTTTCCCACTTTAGACTATAATTAGATTCCCTGTTGTAATAAATAGGATAGATAGGTTTCTTTTCTTATATTTCCCTATTTTAGATTGTAGTTAGAGTCCCCACTGTCATAGATAGGTTTTGTGTGTTTATGTGGCTTATGTGTTATGTGTTTTATCCGCTTTTCTAAGGATTTTTGCATCTAGATATTATGTTCATGTATTACGTGCTACGTGCTCTTATTTGCTTGACTGCTTTAATGTATGCCTTATTTGTTTTACTATATATCATGAATGCATGATGTCACCACACTAGTCCAACACTAGTTGTGGCTTCTCCCTCCGCTTACTTGTTAGTCCAACGCTAGTAAGGATTTTTAGAAATGAGTTAGTCCAATGCTAGACCCTTAAATCGTTCATGCGTTAGACTCATCTTTGTGTGACATTCATTATATTTCATGCATATTTTTATTTTAGGATTTTTTCTCATTTGCATGATATTTTCTATTATATTATCCCCTACTCTCTATATGTGTTAATCATATCATTTAGAATTGCACCTCATTTAATAAATTGTAAAAAATAAGTTAGTTCATGTGCTTGTCTAGATTAGGAGCATTACTCTTTGAACACGGGAAATGAGCAATTATAACTTTTAGTTTAAATATCCCATTAATCCCTGTATAAGAAAAATTATGTCACAAGCTTTTGCCTTCTGTATCCATTATATTGCATTCTTTTTTTCTTGATCACTTATATTTATATATAATTTAATTTTCTTTTCTTTTAGATTTCATTTTTGCATACTCGTGACCCTTTTGAGGGATTATTTTGGTCTTCGCAATTAATGCGATTGATATCAATTAAACCCTTGAATGGACATTTTGTCCATTTCGATATCTTCTATAAATTTAGATTTGCATCCGTATAGAAAACATCCAAACGTGATAAATTTAAGAGTTAGATTAGGAAAATTTTGACTAAACCTCGCAACTAACTTAGATTAGGCTGCCTCAGGTTTGAGTTAATCAGACATTTGCCTTCCCTTTTTCAACCGTGATTTTCAAACTCATTTTCTCTTGTTTTTAAAGACTTGGAGTTGTCGAAAATGTTTTTATTTTATTTTTTATTTTTATTTTATTTTGTTTAAATTTTGTTAGAAAAACATTTTGGGTGACTTGGTACACCCAAACTCAATACCAAGTGGCGACTCCTATTTTTCTTAAAATTCTTTTTAGACTAAGTTTTGGGCCCAAACTGTCGCATTCTTTAAAATCTCATTTCAGACCCTTTTTTTTATTTATTCTCCAAAATCAAAAACACATTTTTTCACTCGCCTTTTAATAAAAATTCACTTCTTTTGTTAAATGTCTAAATTTTATTTTTCAAAAATGGGGCGCGACAATGATCTTTCAGTTTTATGTCTAGAAGTTTGATTCATGAATTTCCTACAAGATTCATTGGTATTGGTATATCTTCTCAAATTCATTTATGAAACCACTCAATTCATGTACTCGGTGTACAAAATTCATAAATGAATATTAAGTGAAGATGCATTGATGTATCTTTTCAAGTTCATCAATTCATAAATTTGGTGTACTATATTCATGAATGGACCTTGAATGAGGTTCATGTACTTTTGCTCTTGTATTGCCTATAAATAGAGGTAGTCTAAGCTCTCTTGTGGTAACTTGTACTTGAGGTATCTTAGAGTTGCAAAACCAATTTCTTGCATCCCTTTGTTGTGAAAACTAAGATTAAACTTGCTATAAATTAGTTTTCTTTTCCATTGTATCCTAGAGGTAATTTGTCATCTCAACCCAGTTAGTAAGATAGTGGGGGCAAATAATAGCTTTAGAAGAATGATCACACACCTTGGAAACTCTCTTGAATTTTTCAAATTAGTTTAGTCAAATTATTGAAATTATTCTTGTAATAGCTTTGTAGTAAGTTCCATACACGTATAATCCCCATTTTCTCCAGCAATTCATCGTTTCTCTTCTTTTGTTTCTTCCTCCCCTATTTTAGCACGTTAAGAAGTGCCAAGGAGGACGGGTAAGGTAACGGAGGTCATAACAATTAAACAATTATTAAAATCTTGGAAAAGAGATTCTTACCTATTTGATATACTTTTCTGGCTAGTGTACAACTTCCACATTATGTAGATTATGTGGTCAACTCATCACACAAAAATGGTAATAAAAAGAACATGATTTGAAACTCATTCTTTAGAAGAAAGGTTTTTTCTCTTTTGGTAATTTTATTTTTTCACAAGGTAGGTGAGCATGTTTTGTTTCCTATGCTAAGGAACTACCTCTCACTATATTCAAATGCATCTAGAACTTGAGGGAATCTAGGTAAAGAAACAAATAAGGACAAGAATTGGGGAACAATATATGCCCTAGTATTTTACAATCATCATTTCATGCAAGTCCCTGTATTCCTTTCAACGAGGTAATCCAATGTTCATCAATACTTAGATACAGGAACACGAGGCAATAAGAAATTCTTATCCTAAAAAATGCTTTGATTTCTTAATGCATCTCTAATGAATATCTAATAGATAATTTGTAGGCAAAGAAAATTGAGAAAAAAATAAAACAAGAACCTCCCTTCTTGATATCCTTGAGGATTTGGAAGAGGTGAAGGAATAAAGTTGACCTGTATTTTGATAAATAATGAACAAAATATTCTAGTACGACAAATTCAATTTCTTTCTTTACAACTTACATGCATTAACAAAAGCAAGTAAATTCCAAGTAAAAGCCAAGGTTATATCAATACTATATAAAAAAGTGTGTTGGATTATTTATATTTTGACGTTCTTTACTTTTTTGATAGATCTATGTTACCCTCGTCAACAAACTAGAAGATTATGTCAAGATTATGTTTTATTGATTAATGTCCTATCATGACACTAATACTAATACTACTGGCACGATTAAGTGGATTCACTAATATCCTAATAGAATATTAATATTAATACTCGCTAATATTAGTAATCATTAACATATAACTGTAATCTATGTATATATATATATATATGAAAATAACTATTTTAATCAGAGTTATTTCTCACTTCTATATGGCATGCCTAATTGAAGAGAATTAACGGGTTATGGGTCACTTGGGCTTTATCCATATTGAATCCTATTTGGATTATATTATATGTTTAAAAATTATCTCTAATTTTAAAATAACTAATCTTATCTTAATGACATTGCTTTAAAAAATAACTAATCTTATCCTAATGATGTTGCTTTCTATCAAAGTATTACATATATAACTATAGTAAAACATTTTTCAAAGCACAATTATTAAAATCTTAATATTCCAAATTACTTTCTTGATCACAATTACTCAAATCTTATATATCCCAAATTACTTTCTTTCACCACAATACTGTTGATTAGTATTCAAATTGTTCATCATTTCTTCCCTGAATTTTGAATTAATTTAGTGTAGAAAAGAGAATTAACTATTACATCGATAGATTTACCAATATTATTGAAAACTAAATATTTAGCAATGAAGAAAAATGAATTGCTGGATTTTTTGTACTTATTAAATATGAATATATAGTTCTAGATTTATGGTCATTATAAAAATTTAAATTATTTAAAAGAATATTTGTCAAAAAAGAATATCTACCAAATTTTTGATATGGGGTACATGATTTGATATATACTATCATATTATAGTGAAAGTACATAAACAAATTTTTAAAAATTAGTAAATAATTGAAGTTTAAAATACATTATTTTTTAAAGTTAGTATAGATGAATATGTAGGATTGTTGTTATTTTTGTATTTAAATTATTTATATTTGTATAAATTCACAATAAATTTTAAAAAAAGACCGTACTAAGGCATGGGTAAAATTCTAGTCTCTTATTAAGATTCTAGGGTAATTTACGTTAGCTTCCTTCTAGGCTCTTGCAAAAATCAGAGGCCTCTCCTCTTAATTTTAAGAATACCAGTAACTTCCTCTATTATTCGTTAACTAACTCCAAAAAACCTCACCTATTCATAACTAAGGGAAGAAATTAAATAATTTTGTTATTAATTCACTTTAATGTTCCCAAAATACCCTTGTATTGACAGAAGTTGATAATTCAAAAAAATAAAGAACAAAGAGTGGAGCTATTTTTTTTCTTCAAAAATTTTTGAATATAAAAATTAATTACACTTAGCCCCCATTTGGGGATGCGGTGCTTTTAAAAAGCACTTTTAGGTGTTAAAAGTATTTTTAATACGTTTGGTAAATATCATCCCATAAAATTAAAAGTGAGGATTTTGATATTAAAACACTTTTGGCAAAAGCTCAAATTTGATGCTTGTAAAGTAGCTTTTGTGATTTAAAAATAAAATATTAAATTTAATTATTTTATCCTATAGAGATAAATACATTTAAAAATTTTCAAATCACACATTATCTAATACAATAAGAACTTATTTAACTATGTATCCAAACAATATACTTAAAAGCACTTAAGCGCTTTAAAGCTCAATTGAAAAGGTACTTTTCAATAAATCACCACAGCCCCAAAACGGGCCCTTCATTGTATGTCCAACCATGAAAGTTAGCCCCATCAATTTCTTTTATGGCAAAATACAGAAACCTTCCTTGGTTTGCTTAAAGGTCACAAAACCTCCCCTATTATTTGAAAATACTCGAAGAACCTCCTTGTGAGACTAATACGGAAACCAGACAGAAATTGTCTAACTTAATGGTTAACAGAATTAGAAATTTTCTGGTTGTGCTTCTAATTTTCTGGTTGTGCAAGACAACCAATACCCAATTTGTTGTGTAAAAAATATTGAAAAATTCCCTGTCACTCTCATTTTTAAAGTTAATAGAACATGGAATATTTTAATTATTGTCATGTTCAGAAACCATGTCCAAAATATTGAAAAATTCCCTGTCACTCTCATTTTTAAAGTTAATTGAGTACGGACAATCTTAATTGTCGTCATGTTCAGAAATCATGTCCATGTGCAAAGCATTACAGTAGCAGGGTGATTAAAGCAAAATCCATGTCGATGTGCAATTAAAACCAGAGAAACAAATATAACTGATAACAAGGGTAAAATACCAAAAAAACTCCTTGTGATTTGCCAAATATTTAATTTAACTCCCTCTGGTTTGAAAACCTACACTATAGCTCCCGGTTGTTTCAACTAAATTAAAATTTGGACGACAAGTATCCAATCTAACAGTTATACGTGAAATATCAATATTGTCCCTATATAAATGAACTCCCTATAGTTTACCAAATGTTCAATTTAACTCCCTCTAATTTGAAAAATTACATTATAGCTCATTGCGGTTTCGACTAAATTGAAAATTGAATAAAAAGCATTTAACATATAGTAGGAGCAATATTGACATTCACATACAACTGTTAGATTGGATGCTTTCTGTTCAATTTTCAATTTGATCGAAATTACAGGGAGTTATAGTGTAAGTTTTCAAAGCAGAGGGAGTTAAATTGTATATTTGATAAATCATAGGGAGTTTTTGATATTTTACCCATATAACAAGGAAGCTGCAAAATAATTGAAGAATGAGATATGCTAAAAGTCATTGTCCCCCTAGTTAGGATCTGTTCATTGAACAATCCCTTTTCAATGAACCAAGGTATGGCACTCGGAAGTACTTATCTGTGCTAGAAATTAATCAGTGCATGACCAATTCCTAAAACCAAAATTTAAACAGAAACCAAATTATATCAAACAAATCATGATTGACAGCAAATTCTATTTGTTAAGACCCAAGACATGTGCAAAATTAGAACCAAGAGAGTAGGAGCTGGGAAAATACTTTTTAACTGGTCTTTGGTCCTAACTATGATAGTCACTAACATGACAATGTAGTAAAAGTCAAAACAAATAGATGAAATTGATGTTTCTAGGTCTATCAAGCGATTGTTTCCAATGGAATTCATCCACCAATTAGACTGAAACAAAAAAAAAAATTGAGTAATTAAAAGATACAGAGAAAATACATGCAATGATCAATTAGGCTCAGATCTATAAAAAGAGGAGGCAAAATAGAGGGGTGCATCACCATGGCTGCAAATTCTCAGTTACATATGTGAATGACTCCCATCTCATCCCACATGCCATCTGAGTTGCCTAGCCAAGATACGAGTTCGAATTTACCTCTGTGCATTTTGCCATCAATAACTCAAGAAAAGATTTGCATCATCACAGCCCGATAATATACACAAACCTCAATGCCCAAAAGCAAAAAGGCATCAATAATTATGATTATTCAACATAGATGCAGCAGCAACAAAGAATTAAGTTAATGATGAAACAAGCATTGCTATCTTAGCAGATTTTTCAGAAATAGTCTCCAATACAAAAAGGCCTCATTTGATAACATTTCTAGTTTCTAATTTCTGCAAAGGGATGTTAATTTCTTTCTTTTTTAAAAAAAAATTGTTGAAATCATAGGCATGAAAACAGAGAGGGGCAACAGCCCTTTAGGAACTCCCAAGCTCTCTGTTGCCTCATTCACTTTTTTCTTGAGTTGTGACAAATATAGTTCCCTAATTTTAACAAAAATTCATAGTGGAATTTCTTCTCTCTTCAATATCTATTAAGAAAATGGATTGGTTCTTTTCAATCCCTTTCTTTACAAACATGCAAGTCTACCGTATTAATACTCACATAATGGCCCTAGGTAATGCCCGTTGTAAGTATGTCCTCTTTGATTAGGATCAATGATCTTTTATAAGATCAATGCGTCAGATTTGTTTATCAAAGTCAAGCAAGAAGAAGAGCACCGGCATGGCTGCAAACTCAATTGCAGTTCTAGAATAATATACTCCAATATGCCATTTGAGTTGCCTCATCAAGATACGGTTTAAATCCAGTTAGTATGAAGCTTGAAACATGACTCATGCCATAGTATTATATCATCGCAGCCTAAAATGAATAGAATAAAATCACCTATTTTTTATTTTCTTCATCTGTTTTGAAACTCCAACAAAAGATCTAACTAAAACACAATAAATTAGCTATTAGTTCAATTTAGAACATACCTTAATGGAGGAGTCCTAACCTTTGTCATATGGTTCAAAAATTTTGATTTCCCAGATAATAAATAGCAGCCATAATCAAGAAGATGAATATTAGAAGATTATCTTGTCAACATTGGAAAGGAAAAACAAAAGCAAAGCAAAGAAAAATTTATGCCTTTTAATATTTTCTTGGTAGAGAGAAGAATAAGCAATTTTCTTGCTCTTTTCTTGAATAAATTGTTGACCACCATAGGCCTCTTTAAATAATTGATCCAACATATGATTCTTGCAATTAAGTTCCTTTCCATTTCTATCTTAACAAACCAAATGATCTATGGTAAACTTTTAATAACAATAGGAAATCAACTATACAACAAATTTAAGATAGTTCTAAGGGTGGCAATGGGATAGCGTTGGGGTGGGGGAAGGAGGTGGCAATGGGGCAGGGGTCCTCACCCTATTGTCAAACAACTCCCCCATCCCCGCCCATCCCTCGCCTCATGTACCCAGCCCCATGCCCCGCCCCGTTTTTCTTGCAAGAGAATAAATCAACCTACTATATTTAATAATCTGCTTATTCACGGGACAATTTTATCATGCATTCTATTTCAAAATATTCAATAAAGATATGCTTAAGTATTTAACTTTAGATCATTCAACGAGTTGCAAATACTAATAATTAAAGAAAATTAACAATCTGTCAATACCATGAAAATGATATTAAAACATTCGACTGAAATGTAATAGGACCAAGTCACACAATTGTAAACAACACTAAATAAAATTAACAAGTTATCAAGATGGAAACAAAACACAGGTTAAGTTACAATCCCATATTCAACAAGTTAAATTATTATATTTGTGTATATGTATGTATTATATATACATCTATAAATATATATAATTTTTTTGGTATGAAAGGAATGGGACGGGTGTATGTTGCCCCGTCCCCTGCCTTGTTTTAAGGCAGGGGAGAATTTTCTTCCCCCTCCCCCTGGTCCCGCCTCATTTCGACTTCCATGCGGGCACTCGCCATCGTTACCATCCTTAGATAATTCGAGCCATTGCAAGACATTAAAGAATCATTCGACATACAAACATAAAGGCAAAAGTAAAATCTTTTTGTTTATGATCAAACAGTAAGCTAAACAACATCTCTCAAATCATTTAATACTCCATAACAATGGGACACATAAATTTTCAAAAAACTAAACCAGTGTAATGGTAAAGCTACCTTTAGAAGCAAATCATCAAACGCAAAGCATACTACTATTGTAAGAGATGATCGCACACCTTAAACACCGGATGTTTACTTTATTGTGCTTCTTCTTGATTCTTTCAAACCTACAAAACAATCAATAATAACAAAAGCAAACATTTTTGCTAGGAGGTCAATTTTGGAAAAAAAAATGCTAGAAAAACTCAACAATGAACTCATCAAATGGTTGAAAATTGATGCGAAAGTGTGAGTAGCAAATAGGAGCAAGGAGGGGAGATGTATAGTGCTTTCATCTCTTTGATTCTCTTCTTTTTTTGGGAAAAGAAAAGAAAAGAAAAGCTAAGAGTTCCCCAATTTTCTCCTTCCAAGTACAATCATAATGTGTGTAAGCAAATTTTGTACCAACAAATAAAAAAAAGTAGGTGATCTAAAAGAAGAAGACGATGCAACCAACCGCCTACAAGGGTAGTTAAATTGCTGTTTTCTTTCATCTAAGATAAGAAGAGAAGAGAAGGGAAAGAATGAAAAAGAAAGCAAAAAGCTGGTGAGCAAAACGTCAAAAATAGCTCTCAACAGTTAGCTACTGTATTTGGGGCTAGATATTTTTTCTGGGTAAAGTAGTAATTTTAGACAAAAAATCGCAAATACCCTCAACAGTGACGTACTGTTCGGACTAGTAGTCAAAATTCTAAGGGTATTAATGGCAAAAAACTTTTTCCACAGTAGCACCAATTCCCAACATCAATGCCCAATCTATTATGTAACAAATATTGAAAAATTCCTTGCCACTCTTTATTTTTAAACTTGGGCACAATTGTATCTAATTCTTATTCTAAATTAGAAATAAATTACCCTTTTGAAAAGGTTCAAAATTCTCATCAGACTAAATAATCATTCATCTAAATCCAATAGCACAACCAATTCCCAACCTATTGTGTAGAAAATATAATTCAGAGCACCTAAATTGTAAGTAGTGACAATTCTTATGTAGATGTATATAATGTAATAAGGTGTTTACCATAGTTCACGCCCACCTATTAAAATTGAAGAAGTGTTGATCCTAACAATATTAGATATGAACATTATTTTTTATTTTTATTAATTGAAATACCAACCTAAATACTGTTATTATTTGCTGTTCTTTTTTTTTTTTAAGTTTAAAAATTTTTTAAAAGCATTTTTAGGCTAGAGGATTAAAGTTTTAGCTGAAAAGAAATCCGATATTAGAGATTCTTGTAGAAAATTTTATTAAGTTCAGTGATTTTGTGGTATAATTGAAAAACTTTTGTGGATTGCTTGCATCATTGGTCATCAGGTTGTAAACATAGCATGCCAAATATGCTTACTGGCAAGATGTGGAAAATATTAAGTGCATAAATTATTGCTTTCTAGCAGTAGCATCTCTCCAATGAAAATCAAAATATTCTATACTATGTTGCATTTGTAAATGTTTGATCAATAAGAGTGAGAATAAAGAAGCAAAGGTAGAACCTTACTTTTTAAATGAAATTACATAATATCCTTTCCATTTAAAAAGTATAAATTCATACACCTTTACAATGAAGATACCAGTTTCTGGGGATTACATTCATTCACCTTCAGCTTAGAATATTATTTTTTACATGAAAGAAAAGGAACATTTGTACAACAGACAAGAAAATGTAAAAATGGCTTTCAGTAGAATGATTGCTTTCATGGCACCTAGCCATCTGTAAAACAGAGAACAAAGAACACAAATTGCTTTTAGTAGAATGGTTGTCCCCATAAAGAGAAGTCATTCACTTAATTTCTTAAGAGTTAGAAAAGGGGAAAAAAAATCTTACCTTCAAGCCAACTTCAAGTAGAAAGAACAGAATTCTGGAGAAGGGAGATTCAAAAAAACCCAAATCCTCCAATACTCTCCTACAAATTTTCCATGTCGTCAGTCATAAAATAAGAAGAGAAAAAAAAAACTAAAAAGCAATGCATTGAATGTTTAGAGAATGAAAAAAATTACTCAAGAACTTATTTTAGTCATTAGAGTAATATCGAAAGGATCAAAACATGTCGTAATCATATTTAAAAATGGGGCTAAATTTGTATTAAAAGTTTAGAAGAACACATTCAGCTACACTGAAACTAATAAAATAGGAAAAAAATGAATTTTGACAATCAAAACCAAGACTCAAATTTATCTATAAAAGTCAACCAAAGAAGAAAAGCATCCCCATGGCTACAAAGTCGGCTGTAGTTGGGGGATAATATTCCCCAAAATGCCATCCTGTAAGAATTATCTATAAGATGAATCCGAAGACTACGCATAATTTGGGGAAAAATTTGCTGATTTTTTGGCCAAGAAGTACAACCTAATCTAACCAAAAGTTCCCTATTTTCCTCCTTCCAAGTAGAATTATCCTGTGGGTAAGCAAATTCTGAGCAAGAAATTACAAAAAAAAGGAGTTTATTTGACATTGAATAAAGGAGAAGACACCATCTGCTAAAGCAGTTGAACTGCAGCTTCTTCCTTTCGTCTGATGAGAGGAAAAAGAAATAGACGGGAAAGAAACAGGAAAGAAGCAGAAAAATGGTAGGCTAAAACTAAAAGTCAAAAGAAGCGGCAAGGGATAGTACAGAGGAAGAAGGGAAAGACACGGATGAACAGGAGAAAAAGTGCAGGTGAAAAACCAAAATTCAGCCCAAATAGTGAGCTACTGTTCTGGAAGCCTATTATGTTTAGAAGAGCAAACACATAATTTTAAGTAAAAGGACAGAAATGCCCTAGAATAGTTATCAACTGTTTAGACCAGGGTACACTTTATGAGGTTATTGTCAAAAAAAAAAAACACAATAGTTACTTCTCTCCCATGTTTTGCCACGTGGATCAACGTGGGAGAAGAAGCCTTAGGTTTTTATATATATGTAATAAGATAGTTTGAAATATCTTTAATATCCTTTTGTTCTTATTTTTTTTTATTTTTTTCCTTTTTCTTCTACCTGTAATCCGATGCCTACCGCTACACAACCTCTCATCACCACCATTAGAACAGAAGAAGAAATTCTTTTACATTTTTTTCTTTTCCTTTCCTCATTTACTTGTTTTCTTTCTTTTTCCTTTTTCTTTCTTCATTTCATTCCAATTGCCAACACCAAGGCTATATCCATTGCCGTCACCACCAGCAGACCTTCTCAATTGCCGCCACCACCATCACCGCTACTGCTACAAAATCTCAAATTGATTAATACTAGAAAAAACCCATGTCTACAAATGGATAAAAAGCCCCAAAATTTGAAGGATTTCGCTGCAATTCCTCAATCAAAACCACCACGAATCTTTGCAAATTCCTAGATTGATTAACCCTATAAAATTCTAAAGTTTCAATGGATAAAAACATCAAATTTTCAAGGACTTCTCAGAATTTGTCAATCAAAAGACCCGTCGCTATCCACTCGAGCAGTGGAAAATTTCGGAATGATTAACCACATAAAATCCACCATTCAGTATGGATTAAAAACCCCCAACATTATCTGCAACTAGGATGTTTTTATTACCGCAAGAGTATAAAAGAAAGAAACAGCTGAGAGAGAGCAAAAGAAAGGTGCTTTTGCTTGGGCTCATAATTTCAGTTAACCCGAGTGACACGGTGCAATGTGGTAAACTAAAATAAGTTTACACTTGTTAGTGAGTAAAAAAATTGGGGAGAATTACACCAATAGTCTCTCACATATCCCCAGAATAAAAATGATCATTTTTAGTCCCTAGCAAACAAAAAATGATCAATTTTAATCCATTTGCAATTTTTCGAGCGATTTTTGGCTGAAATTTGTCACATGCACATCACATGCCCAACTTTTAAAGGGTAAAAAAGGCAAATCACTTATCTGTTGACCAAAATGTAAGCGACTATTAATCGTCAAAATTCTCCTTCTGTTTATCATCTTTATCTTAAGCAAACCCTAAATCTAAACTTCACACTATGGTAGAAGCACCAACTTGTAATTGTGGTGTACCAACGAGAATGAAAACGTCGTGGACAACTGAAAACCCAAGAAAGAGGTTCTATAATTGCGCTTACTATGAAGTATTCACTTCAGTTTTATTTCTTTTTTATTTCAGAAATTGTGAAATTTGAAAAGGTAATGATTGAGTTTGAACAATATGGCCATGATTACGGCTATTTCAAGTGGTACAACACAAGTAGTTATGACAGGTGTGAAAATTTGTTAGACACACAAGATGATTAACGAAGAGGATAAAAGAGTTGGAGGCAAAGGTGGAAGAAACAAGCCGCAAGGAGAAAACGATGAAATTATTGCTGTTTGTGAAGTCTAACTTGAATGTGTTATAAAAAGTCGAAAAGGAACAGGCTTCTATTGAAAGATGATAAAAGATGATAATGGTGTGATTATGACTAAAGAAACAATAGAAAGTGAACCAATCATTTGCATCAAAAACAAGAAAAGCATGCATTCCATTGTTCTAAAACAAATTACATAATCCAATAAAGTACATTAATTAGAATATGCCTTTCACCAAAAAATGCATGAAGTAAGAAGTCAATTCCATTGTTCCAAAATAATTGTCTGCCGAAGTCAAATACTAGTTAAAAATACGAAAAAAATTTCCATTTATTTCTCATCATAGGAGCTCAAATTTGTAGCAGCACCTAGCGGTCCTCTAAGTTAGCTTTTCATCCCCTCCTTATAGCATTTTTAGAATTAGATACCTTTATAGTTGGTGCCTTCTTAGGCCTTTAAAGACACAAATGAAACAATAAGAAGGTTAGACATTGTATACAATATCTGAAATCTGATATATGATATTCGCAGTAGACAATAGCAATTTATATACAGCCAGTCCAGGTGGATCCCATGGGTGTCTCTTATAGAGAGCGGCCAATGTTGAGTCATAACTATTTTGAACGTGTCCAAATTTTTGACATATACCATATCTATACTTGGCTTTCTTACCCTGACCATTTTCAACAAAAAAAGATTAAGCAATAGTATTCAAGGAAGTAAACATGCTACACAATGGAATTAGTATGAAGAAATAGAGAAGTATGAACTGGAGATGTTTCAATCACAATTCTTGACGTTTGAGCAGGTGGTTGTCTGTTTGTAGGTTCACATGGGAATTGACTGATGAGATCAAACAGCATTTGGTCACTTATATCAGTCTCCAAGCCACTTGCACCAATTGCTTCAGGTATAAAGCTCAACTTTTTGTTTGCACTGTGAGTAGTATTTTGAGGCTGGTAATTAGTCTGCTCAAGTTGAGACTGAGATGATGTACTTACTAGATCAGGGTTTATGCCATTTGGAATTTGTTGTTGTGGCTGAGAGCTGCTTGTAACCTCAGTAGCTTATTGCTAGACAGTTCCTTGCTCATGGTTATTCGATCATTTCCCACTGTTGTGGGCCTTGTGTTTGCACTTTCTACACTTACACTTCATTGGACCCATTCTAGACAGACTTTTGTATGTCCTCGAGTAGTTGTTGTGGCTGGTGGCTCATCTACTTCTCTTCTTGTAGCCTTCTTGGGCCTACCAGGAAGCTTGATGGTTTCAGGTGGCAAAATAGGCCCCTTCTTCAAATCTTTCCACAGATACGCACCATTGAGAGGATATATGATAGGCTCATATGCCCTCATATAGGCCTCTTTTGAGTAGCACTCGTGAACAAAGTTCTCCGAAAGCTCATTTGCCAAAGCAATGACACTTGCCATTTAGTTCTCACCTTCTACAACTATAAGTTTTACTAGCCAAATTCACAGTATATCTATCCACATACATGCACCTCACCTCATAATACCAGTCTCTAGAAGATGTAGCTATGCAAGCACTAGAAACATTTTTTTCTTCTTCTGGTTTCTTTAAAATTTTTGGAGACATTTTTCCTATAAATGTCTTTATTTACTCCCTCTTATTCTACATTCTAACCATTATAAAATGTCTTGTAGTTTCTAACATACCTAGTATAGGCCTCTCCCTTACTTCCAGAATGGTGGAGTTGAAACTCTCACATGGGTTGTTCAATAAGACATCACATTTAGGGAAGATTCTGAAGTATGCTTTGGACCATTGTTGAGGTGTTGTGTTGTCAAGCAGCCATTGAAATGCACCCTTATCAGTTGCCTTCAAGGCTTTCATCAAAGCCTTGAATATGTAAGGTGCTCTTGCAAGTGCCCAAATTCTCTCCTTCAATGCCAAATTACCATACAGCTTTTTGAAGTTATTATACATGTGTCTCACACACATCTTATGCTCCACATTTGAAAGCAGATCCTTAATAGCTTGAGTCAGCCCCTTTTGAAAAAAAAAATTAAAATCAAATTGTTTATCAGCAAAGTAAAACGAGAAACCTCAACTTACACAAAAACATAGAAAAAGACACTTACACACCTTTTATTTATCAATAATGAATATTCAATTACTTTCATCTCTGACTTGGAGTTCATTCACTAGTTGCAAGGCCCTCTTAGGTGGTAGCCATCCATCCCAACAACAAGCCTACAACTAGCTAAAAAACCTGTCTTGCATGCATTAAAACAAACATACAATGTCTCAAACCTATCTTCTCCCTTATCATCTTCAACAGTGGTCATGAAAATATTTGAATCAGGATTCGCCCTCTTTACCTCTCTACAATAGTTCCAAAGTTTGTTGTATTGGACTTTATGTTCACCATTAACTAAACTCTCTGCCTTTTTCGTAGTTTTATAAGCTTGCCATCTAGAGATATTAACATTCACACCAGTCTTCACTTTATCTACCAATATACTCACCTTCGTGTCAGCCATAACAACTAGCTCTTTTTTGTACTGTTAACCAAAAGGGTAGAGTTTGCAAGTCCATAGTCAAATGTCCTCTCACAACTGTGTTCACCTCGCATGCTCTTGACTTGAAAGGTCTTTTTGTCTAACATAATAGCTGTGGAAACTTTCTAACTGTAGTTCTTGCAATAAGCTATAGCCTTCTTGCCATCATTTTTGCTGAATTTTATCTTCCTTCCATAAACCACTTCATGGCTCTTGCATGTTTTCACGAACAACTGCTTAGAAGTAAAAGTTTACCCAATGTCAAATTTGGGATCAGCCATATCAGTTTCAGGTTAAACTTTGGAAACTTAACCATCTTACTTGGTTGTTCTTTTTCTTCTGAGTCCCAACAACTATCAAAATCATCTGAATTAGTAGCATCTTCCTCCATTTCAACACCCTCCACTTGAGATGTAGATGCAGTTGTACCCTTACTTGATTTGCAATCTTTGACAATTTTCTGCCATTCAACTTTTCTTTCTTTAAGAGATTTAACTATGTTCTCTCTATC